ACAGATGCAGACCAATAACTATTCAGATAGGCGAACTGGAATCTTTACTATGTATTATATTTGATAGCTAGATATATATATATATATATATATATACATATATATATATCTTTCGTTTCGAGTGTTTTCTTGAGACCATAGCTCAAATTTCATATGCCAAATAATCATTTTGAGCCACGCATGATTATATGGTCCGTTAAAAATGGCTGACTCATAGGGTTTGAATATACTAACCATGAGCAATCGAGCTTACTTCGGTGATGATTTCACTCGACACAGAGTGTAAAACGTTCGTCCCTGCTAATTGTTAGTGTGGGGACTGGAGCACCCACACAAGATATATGGCTCCATTCAAACAAAGAGAGTGAGAGCTTTTTTTTTCAAGAGCTTCGTATGAATTACGTGCATTTTGCTTATGATGATGAGGTTTCCACTCAGAAGTGGTGATAGTATATTAGAATGTAGACGAAGTTCAAAAGATAAATCGGAAACAGTGACTTTCAATAAAAATTCGACGATCGCTCACTGTCGGCAATCCATGTGAATAAGTTAGAGTTTAAATTTTATTGCAAGACGCCTCCTTCCATATATAACGCGTGGATCCTAGCCGCTACTGCATTCGATTGATTTTCTCGTATTCGTTGTCTACGAGCTCTCAACTTTTGGCGCGTAAATAAGGTAGCTCCATAAAAAATCTTTCCTCATCAGTAGTGTCATTGAGTGTTCATCCTGTGGATAATCTCTAAAGTAACAATGTGAGAGCTTTTCCACTTGGAGCGCACCAAGTAAACGGTTTCCCGTAGGCTTTGGTAGCGATTCACCAACTCTTGAGATATGACGTGCTTGGCGAGCTTGATGTGGCATAGACCATTGCTTTTTTGCATATATTGATCAGCATCACTACCGTAACACTATTCTTTCGAGAATTTCCATTGTAGAACGAAAACAAATCACTTACAAATGGAGTTGAGATGGCACCAATACGCGCCACTAAAGAACAGCTACCAGTGCCACTAGCACGGCACGACGTCTCCAATGATTCGACTGCACATAGAAAACAAGCGTCCCATGTGTATTCGATGAAAACACACCCTAACAAATTCAGCAACAGCACACCAACACCCTGAAAAGAAACGCTGTAAGAAAAGTACTTAAGACGCAAAGATATTCCATGTTTAGTCTGGTGCGAGCTTAGCACTAGTTGTAGTAGTTCAGTATTAGTAGCATTAGTAATAGTAGTGGTAATAGTAGTTGCTGTTGCTGTTGATTTTGTTGTTATTAATGTTGCTCGATGGTTGTCGTTTCGGCGACTTCAGCGTTTTCAGAGTCTTTGTAACGCATATTGTGAGTGCTACACGACCTAAGTGCTGTATCTGAAGATTGATATACCGTTGAAACCAACCATCACACAACAACAACAACGACACCAACAACGACAACAACAACAACACCAACAACAACAACAACAACGACAACAACAATGGCAACAGCGATAACAACAGCAAAAGCAACAACCATTACTACTTCCATACCACTACAGACTGCTAATGCTATTACTATTGATAGACTATTACTATTACTACTACTGTTGACTATAATATACTATTATTACTGCTACTACTAGTACTACTCATGTTGCCACTGCTGCTGCTGCTTTAGCAAATTTGAGTTGGCTGAACAAGGAGTCTTCAAAATTTACATATATTAAGAACGAGTGCCGCGGTCCATAGAAAGTCGGCCGTTTCAATCACGACTGGCAGCAGCGTTCTTCAGTAAAGAAATGAAATCATTTCCATTATCAGGCAAGAATTCTTTATGACACTTTTTTGCTGGACAGGACTTTTCGCCGGACAGTTAGCATTCATTAAGCTTTAATCTCGCAGAACTCAGCAAGTGATTTTTTTTTCTAAGAAAGATTTTCTTACACAGCTGTAACATTCAAATAAAGTTATATTTCACACTGACCGCGCTTGTCGTGCTTATCGCGCTTCTATTTCGCACGATGGAGCTCTTTTCTTAAACTTTTAGTACCCGTTCGATAGCGTAAGAAAAGACACTGCACAGATCGATAGGCGCGATTCACATTTGAAGTGTGGTTTATGATAGTTAATTGAGGATTTTTTTGCTCTGACAAAAAATACAGATAAAACATATAGCTCTGATGTTTGAAGATTTCTTTTACACGCTCATGAGTTTATATTAATGTATTCAGGATTTTCCATCGATTTGATAAAAATCTGGACAAGACATAGAGGATTAAGGATAAAGCTCCCGGCGCTGACCAATTCCTGAGAGATGTGCCATTCATTCGTCTTCAATTATTAACCTCGTCTGAGGTGATTGAATGCATGTCTGGCCTTCACAATGACTCGCAGTAGCCTCTCGCTGTACCGAGTCAGTGCTTCTTATCTTCCAAACAAGTCTGAGATCTGCTTGGTACCAATTTACCGACCCAGTAGGGATGATGGATGGCTTGGTGAGCCATGAGCGCGAGATTGCGAGTGAGCGCGGATAAGACTATAACAGCGATGTTTGAAGATTTCTTTTAGACGGCCACATAGTACTTTTTGTGCTTAGACTGTTTAAGCTTAGGTTAAGGCAGGCTCAGGGGTAGTAGCGGATCTGTTTGACAATTATAATGAAAATGAAAAGTTTGAACATTAGAACGGCTAAGTGATGTTTCTTCTGCAGTTTAAATACGAAAAACTTAAAAATCTTTACGAAACGGAGATATTTACAAACAGATAACAAAAATCCTCGCCATAAGAGGTAGCGCGTGTGAAACACAATTTTATTTTGAATGCTACAACGCTGTAAGAAGGCTTTTTTAGATAAAGCGTTTTGAATTCATCGAGATTTGAGCAGTCGAATGATTATCCATGTTCTAATGAAAAGCCTTTGTCCAGCAAAAAAGGTTCCTTCAAATAAAATCTTCCCGATAACAGAAATAGTCCAACAATTCCAGTTTAATGGTTACACCCTAGCTCCTCTCACAAAAATTATTACAACGCATTAGAGTGGAGCTTTACTCACGGTATATTGCTGCAGTGTGAGTATACTGAGAACGAGGAAGCAGATACACACCACAAGCTGAGCGCCATGATGAAGATGACGGCGGCTGAAATTTGGTAGCCACGTATCGGTGGCGAGAAGAATCTGCAATAAAGGCGATGAAAACGGATTGTTTAGCGATCCAGAAGTATCAGCGAAATGACCTCTTACCACAGAGTTTGCCAATTTTTGAGGGGTCACGATCTACTCACCTGTCATTTGCAGACGGAAGATTCTGTAACTGGGCTAGGCAATTCTGTTAACATCGAATAGCTCAAGCGATCACCAAGGGAATCACAATTTGACGCTGTCGTGTTCTTCAGTAAATATTATGGAAAGTAAAATACTTTATGCATTTGCTATGAGGACCTCTTGTCTTCGAGATTTAGTGATCAGGCGAGCACGGGTAGTTCGTTTAGTAAACTTATAAATAGGGTTGTTTTTAGACATGCTTTCAAATGAACTCTGTGATGCTGCTGTTAAACAACTAACCCTACCTGCCCAGCATGTCATTTCATTACGACAGCGTGATTCAAGGAATCGCAAAACACCTTCAATCAGTTAATAGGGCTAAATTCAAGAAATATTTTCTTACCAAAATTTTGTTCAAAAAGCATTGCAATCGACTATTTTGAGACCTCGTTCAAGAACAACATAATCTGGTAATCTATTTTGAGCCTTTCATGAGGTCTGTTATGGGCATTTCTACAGTGCAGGACACGTGTTTCAGTCTCACAGCCTCATCAGCTGCACGGTTCCTTTCGTTCAGTCAGTTCCTCGGGGATCTACACCTGAATAGAGTAATCGACGACGAACTTTTCACACTCGGCATACGGTGAAGCAATCATTGTGGCGTTCTTTCAGAGCAATTTCGTTGTCAGATTGTGTTGTTCTTGAGCGAAGTCTCGAAATAGTCGAATGTAGTGTTTGTATATATGCCCACGTGACAGCTATAAGTCATGCAATCGACAATAAATCACTCTGAAAAACACGACGATGATCGCTCCACGCACGTCGAATGAAAAAGTTCATCGTCGAGTCCTCTATATATTGGTAGATCCTCGTGGAACTCACTAAACGAAAAGGCACTGTGCAATTGATTAGGCTGCGAGGGCTAAATCACTATATAGGTGCCCATAGCAGACCTCATGGAAACCTCAGAATACATTTTCGAAATCGCGTCTATTGACAGATTATCAGTTGACAATATGCTTTGTCACTCTTGAAATCAAGCGATAATTAAATCCGCAAGAAATCACTCACTAATTTAGCGATGATGATTAGAACTGAGAATAGAATCTGATTGGTGAAGAGATTGCCGCTGATGGTGTTCGAGTTGAGATCATTGCTGTAAGAGGAGAACGCTGCCGTAAACCACATCAACCATAGCACACCTAGACGACGGAACAGACCCGGAGTGCTCCACATTTCGCAGAACGTCTAAAGAAATCGTGGACAGAATAAGATGGTAATAAGGTAAATTTGAGAAAAGCCAAGGACAATAATAATCGGTGACGTTATAGAGAGCAATCAAACTGAAAATATTTTATTTCTGAACACAGTATAGCGTTTCATTATTAAATAAAAGTCGCTCTGTTCATATATTCACTTAGGTGTTAAAAACAAAATTCTCTTTTTTAGCTGTTTTATAGTGGTGGCATGATGTTAAACATGTGCCCAATGATGCTGAGTGATGTGCGAAGCTTATGCGTTAGAAGGGACTCGAACCAGCATTACTCTATCTGAGAGCGCGCGATCTAACCCGTTACACTATCGATGCCTGTTATGTCACCACTTTTTCTAAGTTACAACGCATCGATCTGTCAGCAACCAGTCGTCAACGGTCTGGCCCAATAGTCGATATCGACAACGCACTCAGTTTCTTTGACAGATATTGGATATATAAGTCAAAGATGCGTTGTAGCGTAGAAATAGTGGGAGCAAATCAGGCGTCAGTGATGCAACTGGTTAGAGCGTGCACTTCCGGATATGGTGAAATGCGGTTTCGAGTTCCGCCTGACGCAGAAGTCTTGCACATCACTACATCATTGGGTATATACTCCTATATATATAAATATAGGTATTCAAAAAACCCTGATATATTTTGCTCTCAAGGTTGTGTTTTGTTTGAAGCTCACAGCTCCCATAAAAAAACCTTATACCTTAACGTAAAGTATTTTGAACGTTGACATGGAACACAGAAGTTTATGATTACTTTTTTTTATCGAGCGCATTTTGAGAACCTCGATAATAACATTTTTACATAGTCTCTGAAAATGTTTTAGCCGTCTTTCTGAGTTTTGTTACGTCACATTTCGTTTGCGACTATATTTCACCTACGCACTCTTCGGCGATATCGCCGTGATCAGAGCCTTGCTCATACTTGCGGTAAGGCATCGACTGTAAGTACGCTGGCAGTCAGTGATTATTTTACTTGACGAGAATGTACAATTCATTGCCGTTCTATCTCTGTGATAGGGGGCGAGTGAATAGATGATGGCGATACTGCCGGAAGCGCGTAAGCCGAAATGTACCCACGAACAAAATGTAACATAACAAACCTCGAAAAAACTACTAAAAACGTTCTTCGGAACTATAATGATCACTTATCGTAAACTACACAACCGGCTAATAGATTGAGAAAACGAACTGTCAACCAATCACTCATTATGATGATTACTCACTACAATCCTCTATCCACCATACCGTAAACTACGCGAGTAATGCAAATGTTAGTGGTGCCTTGCAAAACAGATACTTTTCCTCTCATCGCACACATTTTCAAATGAAGATAATCTTTAATCTTTTAACGTTATGGTGACTATTTGGTAGTTCAAATGTCAAAATTTCAGCGGTGTACTTGATTTCTTAAATGACCTTCATATTGCGCTGTAACAGAAAAAATGAAATTTTGCTTCGCGCTCAAGTATTTTTCGTTGAATAATGCTTTTCTTTGCGACTTTTTTACTCGTTCGATAGCGCGAATCTCGCCTATGTCAACGGTTTATTTTTTTTCAATAAATACTTCTAAATGCTCTACTTTCCGCTCGATTATGTGATTGGGATTTTGCGACACACGGTGCTATTTGTAAAATAACGGTCATTTGCGAAACACAATCTTCTTCTGGCTGCTACAGTGCATTAAAGTTTTTTCTCAAGAACTTAGCATATTATTCTTGGATTTCCTATGTTTTTACTGCTTTTTTTGCAGTGATATTATAGTCAAAGATACCCAAGAAAAATTGAGTGGTAAGCAAAAGTTCGACCTCAGAGATGAGTTCAATCCGCGTTTCATCAATAGCGGGGGCATGTGTTACCAACTGCACCACCGAAGCGAACGCTTACTCAACATTCATTCATCAGAGCTATCAGTCACCAATCGTTAACATGTTTGGTCGGATAAGCAGTATTGCTCTGTAAACCTAGTTAAGCTGACAGTCACCGTACTTATATAATTCCCAGATTTCTTGTTTTTTTTTACTGCTTTTTCGCAGTGTTATGGTATCTGAGGGATACCCAAAAGACTTGAGTGGTGGTAAGCAAAAGCGCTATTGTAATGAACAAGTTACCTTGATATGTCCAATGCTTTTTTGTTCTACGTACTCATATTTTTCTCCACAAAAACTCGCAATATATTGTTCGGTTGCTTTCAGTTCCTCAAGGCGACCCTGAAAGAAGTAATTTAATAGAGACCAAAAGTAGAGATTTCCCTAAAATTTATGTAATGGTAGAAATAATTGCGGATTTCAGTACCTTGCTATGAAGCCATGTGGGACTTTCGGGAAAAATGAATATGATGCTGAGAATTGCTGGAATGATAAACATGGCGCTTGCGATACTGGCTGATCTCCATTCCGGAACCAACAAACAGACAATAGTCAAAATGAGCCGAATGACTCCCTTCAATTTTAAGAGTTCGAAAGGCAAAAAAATGACTACTAAAAATATTTTAATGCTCAAAAATAGCAATACTACTACTTTCCTACCCAGTTGAATACGCCACGAAGTAGCATTCGCTGTTCTGGGAGCAAAAGTTCGGTGACGAAAGTACCCAGAGTGACTAGACAGCCGCCGATACAAAGTCCAAGTAGAAAACGTACTATGTGCAACATCTGCCATGAATTAGCGAATCCTTAATAAGAAGATTCAATAGAATGAAGGCGAACAAGTAGACAGTTGACGAACCATCAGTCTTGGATATTTCAATAGAAAGAATGCTACATTATGAGTTTTGAGTGATACTGATTTCAGTCTAAGATTGTACCAAATTGTCACCGTTTTCCTTTGTATATAGCAAAACCACTGTTTTGTCATATTCGTCGTTCCTCATCACTAACGATTACAATACTACTCGCAGCATAATTCTTGTTAAACTTACCGTAAATTCGTCCTTTTGAGTTCATCTCGGAGTTATGTTATCAGAGTTAAATCCAAAGAACATAAATGAAATTCTCACCTACCGAATTTGATAGTATAATATTGCTGCATCAGTTTGACATTACAGCAATAAGCACAAATTTATTGATCAGAATTACTTAGCAGCATGCGCTCAAGTCGTTCAACTGCGCATTTTCTCACGTACGTCATAAGCACACGTTGGTGTGCATCTTGCTTGAACTTGCTCTAAAATGGACCTGTCGTGGGAACAAATTTGTTTGACTCCTGCACGAATGACGCTCAGTTGAGCCAGGGGCAGTGTTACGGTTGCAGAAATGAAATGAAATAAGAAGTGGTTCGCGATGTTTCAAGCCGGAGAGAGCAGTCCGGAGGATCAGTTGTGCTCTGGCCGCCCACACAAAGCTTCATTAATCTTGCGCGCCACATCACTAGCACTTTCCTAGCACTCCCATACACGCCATTCTTGCATGAGTAGCAAGCGAATTTGTTCTCACGACAGCTCCATATTACAGTACAATAGGCAAGTTGTATAACATACGTTCGAAAGGAAATTTTGGCGTTCACTGTTCTACTGCCAAAATTCATGGTACGACATGAAAAATCTTGAAGACATATTGGCAATCAGTAAACCTTTCATCACTAACTTCCACGCTTAAGGAGAAAATTTACAAACCTGTCAAGATACTGAATAGAAAACCTGCAGTGAGAGTTGAGATAGAGATCGGTTTTCGGCCAAACATGTCGGAAAGTGTTCCGAATACGAACGTCCCTAAGAATTTATGCTAGAGCTCGATTTGACGACTTTGCTTCCCTTATGCGTAATTTAGCACTGGTTTTGACATTTTTCCTAGGGAGTATCACAGAATATCAATCTTCTACTCAAATTGATTCGCTTTGAAGCCCCTTCACAGAGGGATTTTGGGAAGGGTTAGACCACTGTGGTGCGAAAGCAGTTAGAGGTTAGAGAATGTCAACACAGGCTAAAAGCGACCATGAACGTGATCTTTGTAATGTGCAAATCAAGTCGGCCACACCATGGTAGCAAGTGATTTAGGGCTGGTTAGGAGTCGCCGCAGCGAACAAGCCTCACAATATCAGTTCTGGGAGAGATTGGCAGACGCTGACGGCTTTCTCACAGTGAAATAATATAAAATCCTAATTTCCCCAAGAAACCTTTCCTCTCAATACATTTACACCAAACTATGTGCAACATATTTCGTCTTCGAGCGGAATAAAATAAACTCCGATGAGGCATCTACGTGAATTAATTTGCATTCTGACAAGTATCGACCGCATAACCGCACATTCTGGCGAGTAGCCAGCGAAAGGCCGAAAGAGTGTGTTGAAATGAACTGGCACAATGTTCTTCAGGTGCTCAGATTTTATATCACTAGCGTGGTGTTGTTCGACTCTTCATCGATGAAACAGCATGTCGTATTCCTGAAGTGAGAACTGGTGGGACAACAAATCTATGTTCCTTTATCTCTCTCAAAGGAAAGAGGAGTCGTTAAATCGGAGACGCGGGTGACTACCATCATCGCAGTGCAATTAACTTGCCTTGTAATTGGCGAAGCTTCCATGAGCTTTGCAAACGCCTTTCCATCTTCTTCAGCTTCGGATATAACTGCTGCTCTCCTCTTCCTGAGATATTTTTCAAACTTTATATGAGTGTTTTTTTTGGACGTGAGTCGTCGGCTGCCTGCAGCTCGAGCAATTCCACGTCGGGTTATTAAGTTGGAGTGTTTGTAGAGAAAAATGTCTCTTGACTACTTTCGAACTCTCGACTTCCATAGCGCTAAGATGAAGATACTGAAATAAGCAGTCGTACTTTATTCGTTGATATGTTCATAATGACATTTCGCCAAGAGCTTACTGAGGTTTCAATAAATCTATTTTACGAGAAAGTCGGGATTTCATTGCTCAAACTAAGCTGATGTATCTCCTTTCCGTCATGAACAGAATGCTGCTAGAACAAGGCAGTGATGCGATCTTGCTTGGAATTTCGGATCAGCAACTACATCGGTCGGGGGGAATTGTGATCTGTTACGATTTACAGAAAATCATTTGTAGCAAAGTCAATGTATAAAAGACAAAGTGCTTGCAACTTTCGGTCATCTAGCAATCTATCATATTAGTGCTTTTATCCATCCAGACAATTTTGGTGATAATTTGTCTCTGCGAAGAGGCGACAGGCGCTGTGAACCGGACGTGGGACCGAACTGTGAATTAATTATGTGTTTTAGCTTCCCTCTACTGCAGCACACCCACTTACGAAACAGTCGCTTGTAAAAATGAAATGTTAGTGTCTCACCAATTAATACTCCAACGAATTGCACTTGAGAAAAAGTAGACATCAAATACGCGCTATCAGAACAAAGCCATCTAAACCTGTAATAATAGAGTAGCCTGATGAATAATGATGAATATGTCTGAGTGCTAATACGGAATACCTTCTTTTAGAAACATGTACGCGGCAAGTACTAGTAACAACGCGAGGCGATTCTTCGTAAGTTTTTTCGAGCGCTTGTCAAAAGACTTGTCATATAGGCTACCGATTGATGCTGTTCTAACATTAGTTGCATCTAAAAACGCATTTGAAATTGCATTAGAAAGACAGAGCAAGGAC